TTGATTCAAATAAGGTGTAAAATAAAGTGAAGTTATTTAATTATGGAACATTTTGCTCTTGGTAGCAAGATGACTGACTGACTGATTTGGTGACTATCAGGTTCTTAAAAATTATTTTTGGTTAACCAATAGGGATTGGATCCTGAATGATTGGAAGTTGAATTTATTAGGCTATCAAGTGGATTGGTCAAAAAGAATGTAGGAGGATTGAATTTGTAGAGAAATATATGTAGAAGAGCAAGCGGATCGAGAGGTAGTTTAAACCCGAGAGGTTGGCTGGTTATTTCCAGCATTATTTTTATCTCTATATACCTATGATAGCAAAGAGGTTCTGGCAACATATAACTATAAAATTTATTGTTTTTGTTAGAACTTTCTACACCCTCTGCAGATGTGACTACGCAGCAAATAAGAGGTATTTATTATATGGTGAAGTGGATTTTCATTCTTATAACAGTAATAAATATTGTAACAATAAACCTATAGCACTTCTAGCTGATTGCAAGGGTATCTTCAACCCAAGGAGTGCAAAACAGAGCAACAGAAGTGATTCCTCTCTATTTAGTGATAAATAATTTTAAAAATTAGATACCTGAAGTGAAAGTCCAATACACATTTGTTTTCCTTTCAAGAAAAGTCTCTGAGACTGGTGAATGGAGAAGATAAATGTCGTGGTCGAATTGAGGTCTTTTACAATGGAAGCTGGGGAACAATTTGTGATGATGGCTGGGACATGAATGACGCACAAGTTGTGTGTAGACAGCTTGCCTGTGGAGAGGCCATCCAAGCCCTACCTAAGGCTGAGTTTGGGGAAGGAACTGGCAGCATCTTCCTGGATGAGCTGAAGTGCAAAGGGAACGAATCCTCTCTTGAAGAATGCTCTCATAAACCTTGGGGCGTTCATAACTGTCTCCACAAGGAAGATGCTGGGGTCATTTGCTCAGGTAATCTGAACCACTCAATTTTCAAGTTATGTGATATTTTCACCTGGTTTACGTTATCTAATAGGTCCGGTGGCTCAGTGGCTTAAAAATGCTGGAGTTGGTCTCTGCTCTGGCGGTTCAAGTCCTAGCACCACATGGCAGAGTGAGCTCTTGTCACTTGCCTCATCTTCTGCCCACCTAGCAGTTACAAAACATGCTACATGTGACTAGATATATAGGTGGGAAATATGGCATCTTCAGTGGGAAACAGGGCATCTTTTTGTATAGACAGTCAGACCCGGGGTGGTAATGGTCCTGCCTGGATGCAATGCCAAATTGTGCTGCAACATTGGTGTGAGAGAAGACCTCAGCTGATGCCATAGGATTCCACTTGTCTTTCTGATGCAAAGCTAGTTCATTCCCTGTGGTATGTCATGGATTAGCACATGAGCGCAAACTAAACAGGCTAGCACTCTTCAGCAGCCAAATAACTACTACAGTATGTACTAGCTAATTGTATTATACGCTAAATAAATAAATACATTAACCAAACACACTGAAAGCATAATTAAATAATCAGGGGACAATGTAATGTGGCTGCTCTCTGATAGAATATATCAGAAATCAAAGTATGTCATCATTGAACCTGATTCTTGAACAGGATCACAAAGGATCCTAATTGCTATTATGTGTAACGTTTTCAAGCAATCTTCATTTTCTCCGTAGAAAAAGGGTGTTTATTACTGAACATACAAGGATTTAAGGATTTGTCCTTATTATGTAGATTTCAATAAGTTATTATATTATTTTTAAGTAAATGTAATTAAAGTGCGTGATTAAAGTGCTTAACATGCCAGCACTTAACAGGGGAGCTGGCAGACTCAATTGCAGTCAGTAAATGAGGATTACTTGTAGTCTCAATATTGAAAAGCAACAGGCATCAGTTTCAATACTTTCAGTCACATTTGCTATATCCTTTTTTATTGTATTTTGCTGTATCAAAATAAAGTAAAAAAAATATAAAAGAAATAATGATGATAACAATACTGGCAGTATCATGAAACCTCATAATTGATCATCGTGAGTATGCTGTCATCTTCACCCAGACAGAAGTTATTTTTTCTATTTCCAGGTCCTGCTGTCACCAAACCACCACCAGGTAGGTATTTTCTTAAATTTCTGTTGTTACTTAAAACCAAATCTTGCATTAGAATTTAAGGAGAAGTAGAGCTAGTAACGTCTTTACCAGCACAGAGAGAAATATGATTCATTCAACTTTCTTTTTTTCCACTTTTCATTGAGTCTACAATTTGTGAAATAAAGTGAGTCTTTATGCTATGCATGCTATGTATGAACACTGGAGTTTTGCTTTTCAGCAAATCATTGAAAAATATATGAATGTAAGAAAAAATGTTTATCATATGTTGTTTGATTTATATAAGGTTTAAAATGAAGTGAAAGCATTGAATTATGGAATGTTTTGTGAGATAACATAATAAATAAATAAATTAAACAAACAAACCAGTAAATTAATCAGTATCTATGGAGTATTTAAAAATGGTTTGTGGTTAAGCAATACTGTTAGTGTCCTTAATGACTGGGAAACAAATTAATTAGGCTACTTAGTAGAAAGAAGTATCATGAAGTGGGTTTGGTGAAAGAGAATGAACAAGGATTGAATCTGAAAACAAATATATGTAGGAGGAACAAATGGATTGAGAGAAGTGGAAAACCAAGAGAATATTTTTTTCCAGTGTTATCTTTATACACCCATAATAGAAAACAACTTCTGGCAAAGTTTCTGAGTCATATAACATTAATTTTCTGTTTTTGTCAGAACTTTCTACAACTTCCTCAGAGCTGACTACGCAGGAAAGAAGAGGTATTTATTATATGGCTAATTGGATTTGCATTCTTGTAACAGTAATATATATTGTAACAGTAACACAATGAACCCTGTATACCTCCACTTTCTGATCACACACCCATTTTATTGTATGGTGATATGAAGGTTGTTGGAAGTCTGCAAAGAACATATAAATCTGAATTTCAATAAGCTACAAAAGGAATTTTATATTAAATAGGAAATTATTTGAAAGTATATTTTCCTAAATCATGGTTGTGCTGTTGAAGTGAGCCAAAGAGTATGCTATGGTCATGCTGGTTGGAACCACTAAGGGACAGAACTGGAACATATAGAGAGAGCATGTGGTTTCCCACCATACTATGGAACCACTTCAATTCTCACAGAAAAATAATGACTTGAATGAAATTGACTGATATTAATGTATTATGTGTTACATTAATATGTTATCTTGGTAAAACAGAACAGCAGGGTGATTCCTCTCTGTTTAGAAATAAAGCATTCTAGAAATTAGATATCTCAGATGAAATGTTCATCTTTATTTCATGATGATGTAAAGAATAACGAGTTTTTGATCTCTGGTATTCAGGGGTAAGGAAGCTCAAAGATATCACTCAAATATACAAAATAATTTGTGGAAGATCCAAGGAAATCACCAAAAATTTGTAAATTGGGTAGCAGTTGTGGCCAATCCTCTTAAATCTATTCAACCCTATTTATATAAAGGGAAATATAGGTCACAATATCTAGAGTTGTACACACACACATGCGTGCACATAGACACACACACACGGAATCTTATCTGACAAAAGAACATCAGGTTGAGAAATACTGATATGCCTTTTTAAAATGAACCCTCAAAGAGTCAATGTAATGTGTCATTGGTGAAAAAACTGCTGTTTATATTCTTTTGACAATTGCAGAAAGTACATTGGTAACGACAACAAGCTCATTGACTGTACGGTTGATGAATGGAAAAAACAGATGCCAGGGTCGACTTGAAATCTTCCACAATGGGAACTGGGGAACAGTCTGTGATGACGGTTGGGACTTACAAGATGCAAAGGTTGTTTGCAGACAACTTGCCTGTGGA